GGGTGGGGGACAGGGGGGCAGGGGGGCAGCATGTGGGAAGAACAGCATTGAGGGAGCCTGAAACTCAGCATTTTCCATAAATTATCTTTCTGCAGCACAGTGCTGGTGATGCAGGCTGACTGGAGATGCACCTCAGTAGCATTTCACAGTTTTGCCTGTATGTGCTGCTGCCTGTGAGTAGCAGCTACAGAGGGTGTAGTATTTTCAAAGGACCATATAGTGACAGTGTTCAGCTCAGCACTTGAAGAGCCACTCCAACTGCAGCTGGGGCTTGGAGTTGCATCCATCAAATGTTCCCTTTTTAGATCGGAGCTGGTCAGGAATCCTGTGGGGTTTCCTGCTAATCTCTGTGTGGAATCCATTCGGTAACACTAGCACCCCTTTGCAGAATGCCCCCTTCTAGCATCCCAGTAGTGGTCTGCTCTGTGCTTGCCTCAGTTACACTTCTGCAGCAGTAACACTCGTCTTTAGTGCATAACTCCTATGCTTACACACTTCCATTGCATATTCTGCTGCCTCTATGCCAGTGGGAACCCAGAGTACACAGATACCCCTTAGCACATTTTCTGTACAGCCATCTGTATGATATCAGTTCCTTACATCTCCATGCACAGAAAGGTTGATGTCTGTTGGCATTTTCCACAAAGTCCCTACAGGGTTACTATTTCATGGCTCAGGTTAGCTTTGCAAATGTGCTCTTGAACTGTGCTCAGTCATGTTTCTGTTGGTGCTATAGCCTTTCATGGTCCTTGCCGTAATATCAGACAAGAACATCGCTAATGTGTAAGGAGGGAAGGGGGGAGATCTAGACCAGTTCTGTTCTTTCTTTGATTTTGTGGCTTCTAAAGAAAATGATTGTAACAGAAGACTCTGTGCCGAGCCTTGAGGCCATCTTGAAATATACTCTCTTCAACACGGAGGAGGAGCTGCTATCACAGTTCGATGCCATTCCAGGCAAGAAGGGCACACGTATCCTCATCTGGAACATCCGCAGGTACTGGGAACCCAGGCACATGAAGAATTAGGCATTGGGAGGTGGAAAGCTGAATACTGAAAAAATGAGGGGAGAAGTACTAGTTCAGTGGCATAATGTTTGAGTACAAGGCTGGTCTGAATTACAGCAGGGGCAGTTCAATCTATCCTCCTCCTCTGGTAGAAACACCAAATTTTATATAGCTTGGTATGTTTGACCCTTAAATGTAAATATGATATCATCCATCTTACTCTGTGGGGATGCTTCTTGTTTGTAGCAGTCCTGTTTTACTATGGTAGAGACCTGTTTTGCTGTGGTCCTATTGCTGCTGTTTACTTCTGTTAACCCTGCAGAGCCGTCTCAGCTGGGAGAGAATGCTCACAAGTGTATTCTTCTGTGTAAAGCAATAGAATTGTCTTAAGTGCCCATGACAGTAGCTGTGCTGGATGCAGCAAGTTTCACAGCTGTTGCCAAGACCTGGCTAGGACATATACCCTGTGTTGGATGTTGTGTGTGGGAAGCAAAGAACGCAGCTTAAGTGTAGAATTTGCAGGGTTGACAGTTGGAAAAATCTTCCTTTTGTGTGTAAATTGAGCACTTTGTGTAAATCTAACCTAAGGGTGCAGGTTTGAAAGTAGAAACCTAGGCCCTCTGCTTCTCAGCTTTCCAGTGCCAAGTACTAGCCAATTGCTTCCTTTTCCCAAAGAGGGCAGGAACTTCTGTAGAACAATGTTTAAGACTTACAGGGACAATCCTTCCTAAGGGCAGAGGCTTCCTACATTGTCCATCTAGATATTACCTTGTACTCATTAGGATGCATTGGATTTCTTCTTCATGTGTATAATTTTATTTGGGCAACAGAGCTAGGAATCAAAAGGTAGGGGTTTGCTTCCTGTCTCTGCCACAGACATGCTCTTTTTTTGTAGTCAGGTCAGCCAAGAAAGTATTTCTTCCCTTCCTTATAGAACAATTTTGAGGTCTAATTCATGTTTATGAGGTGCTTGACTTTGATGCTGTGTGACTTAAGCCTGTAAAAATGACTGCCCCAAGGGGAACAGGAAAGGAACGGGAGCACTTTGAACTTTTAAGGTATGTGATGCATGACTCTGGAAATGGAAGAGTAGCACTTACAGGAACAGTTTTTGCACTTTTACTATGTCAGGACTGAATTGAATTTTTATTCTCTTAGGTGTGAGTTTATTGCTTAACTACTCTAAATTTGTTTTGGTCCTAATACACCATGGCTGAGCAGAATGTTCTCCTAGCTCTTGTTTGTGGCATTTTTTAGAAATAAAGATGGGAAGCCGGAGCTAGACTTTGATACAGACAGGTTTGACATTCGGTTATCAGACTTCAACAAAGAGGAAGCAGAGAATCCTGGGAGGAAGCTACTACCTCCACACCTCGAGAAGATTCAGGAGTCCTCTGCACCAGAAACAGAGTACTCCTTACGGGTGAGTCAGGGTGGCTGGAGTTAGCTCTGTGGAAGTGGTTGAGTGCTGAGACAAGTTGTACCACATGTATCCCAGGCAAGCACTGTGAGTTTAACTACTCGTGTTGGTATCAGACGACAGGAGCCATTCTCAGTTTAGGTATTCACATGGCATATAAAGTGTGTAGGACTGATGCCAGGTGTCTGTCTGTTTGGACAGGTCTTAATTGATTGGCTCTCTGGGTTGGGACTGGTTGGGGAGTCACCTGTTTGGTGAAATTTGTGTTCATTATGCCTGTCTTGCACTATCCCCTGTTCTCAGGCATACTGCAGTATCTTGTACCTGAAGCCCCGCATGCAGATTGTTCTGCGACAGAAGACGGTGAAGACTCAGCTGATGGCCAAGAGCTTGGCCCATATTGAATATAATGTATACAAACCCACCTTTATAGTATCCTTACAGTTGCCTCATGGCGCTCCTGCTCCCATGGCAATTTCACTGCATCAAGGCAACTATTGGAACCAGTCATTTCCAATGAATATTAACCCCATGTCTATATTTAGGGCTGGTTTAGATGGATAAGGACAGCAGTGTAGAGTCTAGCGTTAAATGAGCAGTCAGGCTGATTCTTCTCCTTCCACTTTTCTGTTACCTCTGGAGAGGCTAGACTCCATTTTGAACAGTTCATGAAGGAGTCCTCACAACTGCTTATGATGGAAGAAGTAAAAGCAGTGTGGAAATGCTTGCACGCCTCAAGCATGGGTGAGGTCCAGCTGCCAGAAAGGAACTGATATGCCTTCATACTGCAGACAGCTGAATTCAAAACCCAAGCCAAAATCATGAGACTCCATACCTTTGTGTTGGTAACAAGGTCTTGACTGACATGCCCAGCTGATTTGGGCAAAATGCTTCAGAAATGTATTTTAAAATTATGAACTCCCTTAAAAGAGAATAGGTAAGAGCCTTATGTGTAAACCAGTACATTTGACTAGACCTTGCTTATGAAGAAAGGGGAGATCTTATGCAGCTCAAAGGTATTTATGTACTTGCTGACTTTATTTTTCCGGAAAAAATGGAAGTTGGCCTTGTGAGGTTTTGATGTATTTTTGCATACAGCTAAATGAGAACAACATTTTTGTTCACTTGTTTCTTTTAATAATACGCCCACAAAGTAAAACTGGCGTCCCATGTCAAAGCAAAAAAAAAAAGGAAGCTGCACTTGTTTGTTTAAAATCTCCACAAAATGGAGTAAGTCTTAAACTGAATATTGAACAACCAAGTGTGCAGCTCTCCCCACTGCTTAAATGTACATGAACAGTGGTTCTTGTCTGAAAAGTAACTCTGTCTTCCAGGATTTAGGTTTGATTCAAATTCTGTATCAAATGTGGAAAAATTGAAGAAATATATATAAAATATCTAGCCCTGCATACAGAGTCAGAAATTGGAAAGCCAGTGAGTTGTTTTTTTGGAAGAAATTGACTCTGACTTGTTCTCTGAGAGGCTTTTGTTCTGTAGAATCAGCATGAGTAAAAAGTAAAATTCCTCTGACGGTAGAGGAATACATCATCTTAAATAAATTTAAGATGGCATTTAGTGGAGAATATGCTGTATGGACATCTATAGTATAAATATCCCTCTGAAAGGAATAGCCCCCACCTTGATGAAATAGAGCTGTTGTTCATGTTTTCTTTCTTTTGTAAGCCCAGTAGCAGAAGTTCTTGTCCAGAATTGAACCCATATTCATTTAGAACTTGAAGAAAGTGGAATTTTATTGAGTGTCTTGGATTCTTCACTTCAGCATTCATTGAGGTTTATGAAATCAAATCAGCCAAAAATAATCACCTTATTAGTGATTTGTGACTTACCTGGATGGTAACTGTTTGAGCCACCTATTTTAGACAGAGTTTGAATCTCAAAACTGCATGTGCAATTATCTACAGGAAATAGTCCATTATTAGTATTCATAAGACTTTATACTTAATTTGCACTTGCAAATATTCAGTAACATAGTAGTAATATACCTAGAAAAACCCCAAACAGTACCCTGTAACCTAATCTCATTTCAATCACACCACT